GAGACAGTGCGACTGGCACAGGACAGAGTGGAGTTTAGGGCTGTTGTACATAGGGTCGCTATGAGTCGCAGGCGACTCGACGGCACATAACAACAACAACAACTGTGATCAGAGCTGGACAATGAATAAGGAGGACAGAAGAGGAATTGGTGCCTTTGAGTTGTGGTTTTGGAAAAGAGCACTGAACATCCCATGGATGGCCAAGAGAATGGACAAATGTGTATGTGTCTTGGAAAAGGTGTAGCCGGAGTGTTCTTTGGAGGCAAGGATAATGAGGCTTCACCTCACATACCTCAGGCATGTTGTCAGGAAGGGCTACTCCTTGGAGAAGGACATGATGCTTGGAAGGGTGGAGGGTCAGTGAAGGAGAGGAAAACTCTTAAACCAGGTGGAACGACACAGTGACAGTCACAATAGGCTCTTTTGTGTCAGAAGTGTGAGGAGGATGGCACAGGATAGGATGGGGTTCAAATCTGCTGTTCTTGGGGTTATACTCGACTTGATGGCACCTAACACCATTATCATCATGAGCTAAACGGACTTGATGACATTTAACAATATTCAACAGAACAATAGACAAAACTAGAACTGACCACTTATTCTGGGAACTTTAATAGAATGAAACATGAACACACGAGATGAATGTGGCATAATCTGTAGAGAGCTGGACTGTTGAATTCAAATGCTGTACTTCTTTGGTAATCTGAATCTACCAGCAGAGAAAAATGAACAATCTCCTTCCATATGATTTTATAGCTTTGGAAATCCACCAAAGGTCAGCTATCAGTGGATTCCAACTGGACAATAAGTGAGTAAAATTCAGAATGAAATATTCTAATCTCTAAGCAAAACCTAACAAGAAAAAAAAGGTTTAGAAAAAGGATAATTTACATGGCCATGAGCTGGCAGCACTTAAAGAGGAGGAAAATAGACTAAAAAAGACTGTGTTTAAGAACAAACAAAAAAGACTACATGTTAATTGTAGTTGTCTAATCATAAAAGACCAAAGGATATAAAAATGGACAAAAAATTGCACTACAGGGTCAAGAAGCCTAAGCAAAAGAAGAGACGCAGAAGTGAAAGATATAAACGGAAGATTTCAAGGACAGCTTCAGAAGACACAACAAAATACTATAATACTATAATGGAATGTGTAAAGAACTGGAGTCATAAAGTAAAAAGAGAAGAATTCACTCAGCAGTTCTCAAACTGAGAGAACTGAAAAACAATTTCAAGTCTAGATTTGCAATACTGAGAGATGCTAAGGACAAAATCTTGAATGATCCAGGAAACATCAAAAGAAGCTACTGTATCAAAGATCACTGTATCAAAAAGAATTGGCCAACAAAGAACTATTTCAGGAAGTAGCATGTAATTAAGACTGTGGTAATGAAGGAAGTAAGTTAAAGCTGCACTGATGGCACTGACAACAGGTAAGGCCCCAGAACAGAGGGGATACCAATTGACATCTTTCAACTAACACATGCAGCCCTGGATGTGCTCACTAATCAGTGCCAGAAAATTTGGAAGACAGTTACCTGGCCAACTGACTGGAAGAGATCTACATTTGTTCCCAATCTCAACAAAGGTGATCCAACAGAATGTGGAAATTATGAAATACCATTATCATGATATACATATCATTAATACCACATGCAAGCAAAATAGTGCTGAAGATCATCCAAAAACAGTCAGAACAGTACATAGACATGGAACTGCAATAATGGGCTCAAGTATGTCAGAGATAAAGAGGATGGCACAGGATAGATACAGAGTTTAGATCTGTTGTTCATGGGTTGCTATGAGTTATACTTGATTCCTCCTTTTCTAAAAGGGTTTAGAAAAGGCCATGGTTAGGGGAGCTCTGGTGGCCTAGTGGCAAGAAGCTGCACTGCAATCCCAGAGACACATGGTTTGAATCCACCAGATGCTCTGCCGGGAAAGGAGGGACAATCTCCTCCTGTACCAGTCAGATCTGATCTGACGGTACACAGACACATATACACAAAATAATAATAAAAGAAAAAAAATCTTTTTAAAGGCCATGGCATCAGCAATACTGTTGCTGATATCAGACAGATCTTGACAAAATAGCAGAGAATATTAGAAGAATGTCTATTTGTGTTTCATTAACTATACAAAGGCATTTGACTACGTGGGTCATAATAAACTATTAAGAAGAACATGAATCATGGACATTTAATCATGTGCATAGGGAACATTATTATTGGGCATATTATTATTATATGGAAAACATGGGCTTGGTGACAGGGATGAGGCTGGAGATAGAATGATTGAATTTTGTAAAATCAATGACTTATTCATTGCAAATACATTTTATAAGAGACACAAACGCAGGTTATACACATGGA